CCAGTGTTCCAAAATGTGTCGTGTGTGTGTCAGAAGCCCCAGATGTATCATGTCCTCATCATTCTTTGAGCCCTTTCTTACTTTTTGGTATAACCAGATGTTCCCAGCTCATCTTGTACTTTTCCTGCCCCAGCCCTGGAATCAACCATTTCTTCAAGGAGATCTGCTTTCTTTCATGGAGAATGCTATTCAGGAACCATGATCTGAGTGCTAGATTTTCTCATTGTTGCTGATGTGTCCTTGCTTGTAATTCCTCTCAACAGACAGACATACATATAAATATATTTATCTCTATGTCTGTTAAAAACTGCAAGTTTATACTGAAACCTTCAATTCCAGTCTATTGCTACTTTGCAGTCTTCCATTTTTCATATCTGTAACTCCCTCAACAGAAAAAAACCTGGCCACCATTATCCTCAGTATATTTACTTATTTGCTCAAGGCTAGATTACATGGAAGGTAATTTTAGAATTGCTGACTCATACTACTTGGGGGAGACAAAAAAAAAACTTCCTAGATTTTTAGATGACCTATCTGTTTGCAACCAGCTTCTCAATTTGGCAACTGAAAAGCCATCTTTTAAGTAAGGTTAATAAATGCAAACTTAAGCCCCAAATAAGCATGTCTAGGCCATGACACTGGATGGCTCAGGGAATGAGTGGTTAGAGGGCTTCAGCAGTCCAGGTCACTAGCTTTAATCCTCATGTCTGCCATAATTCACACTGCTTGACACAGAATTGTTTATGTTGGGTAATAGTAGCTGATCATGAGTTTATCTTCCAGGTCTTAGTATAATCATGTCATGAAGAATTGCCACCTCAGCTAAGGGAAAGGGCAGATTTCCCCTCAAAGGTGCTGTTTTTTCTAAAAGCAAACTACATAAATTGTTCATATGTCATTTCTGTCCAACAGTTTCTCAGTTATATGTTTTATAACCTTGTATTATGATCATATCTTTTTAAAAAAATCACATCAGGTTGTATGAGCTACTAATATTTTTGAACAAATATATAGGAAATGATTCAAAGAAAAAAGTGCTATTAAAGGCATCTGGAAGGCTAACACTTTCTCTCTGCACCAAAAACCAATTGATTTTTGGGAGATGGTATTTTGTAGTTGGAGTATAAATTAAGAGTCTAGGATTTCATGTAAATATGCTGTCATCATCAGGTTCAAGGATGCAGTCATTTGTGCCTTAACACAGATTTCTTTTTGCTTTTATTACTTTGTATAGTCTTGCTAAATATTAAGCAATTTCAACTTGCCATCTTGGCATTAAATGGTAAGTAGTCCAAAGACAAATAAAGTCTTTTGTATTGATAGGATCTTTGAGGAGGGCTTACGTTTTGGTTATTAAAATCGGTGTTCATTGTTGTCCAGTACATTGGCTTTTCCCTCTAAAATGAGAGGTGAACTTAAAATTGATTACTCTTAATCAGCATAAAGTCTGTGCTAATTTGCCTATTTTGCTTGGTATTCTACCTTTAGATTTGCTGTTACCTGCCTTCACTAAAAACAAAATTTACGTTAAATTCTTAAAGTGGCCTTATTTTCTGTGAACTTATATGACTGGGAGGATGTTTGGAAAATGAAAGAGGAGCACTTTTAATCTTTGGAAAACACACTGACATAACTCCTAGGACCACGTGAGGGCTGGAGTTATGCAAATTGACCTGCCTTAATATCATCTCATGAAAATAGCATTAAATGAATGCATCTATAGTTAGATAATAAAACAAAAAATATAAATTTATTATTGGAAAATACACCTGTCAGTTTACTTTTAGTTCATCTCTGTCAAAGCAGGTTGGTTCAGCTTTACAAGGAAACCAATGATGTGCATACTTCTAATGTTAAGATGGGTTAATTTTTAAGCCAAGTATCATTAAATACCTGTGGTAGGCAGCTTCTAAGATGGCTCCTAATGACACCTACTTCCTGGCATCCATGCCCCTGTTACTCTCTCCTGTTGAGTTTGGGCTAGACCTAATAACATGATTTTGATGAACAGAGTACAGCAAAAGTGATGGGATGTCACTTACAAGATAAGGTTATAGGAAGATTCTGGCTTCTATCTTGCTCACCCTCTCTTGGCTCTCACTTGCTCACTTTAATGGAAACAGGTTCCCAAGCTCTTAGATGCCCTACAGGGAGGCCTGGGAACTGGGGAGGGCTTCTGGCCAACAGTCAGTGAGGAATTGAATCCTTCCATAACCACACAAGTGGGCTTGACTGCAAGCTCTTCTTCACTGTCAAGCCTTGAAATGAGGCAGCCTCAGCTAACGCCATGCATGCAGTCTCCTGAGAAGACCTGAGCTCTGCTATGCCCCGATTCCTGACTGAGAGAAGCTGTGAGATAATAATTTTTGGTTATTTTAAGCTGCTAAATATGACGGTAATTTGTTATTCAGCCATAGATTATTAAAACAGTGTCCTTTTAAAAAATAAAAACTCACAAAAGACCCTCAAACTTTGTGTTTTCTTGGTACAGCTTTAACTAGCATTGCCTGATAAATAATTTAACACAGTGGTTTTCAACCACTAACATTAGAATCAACAAGGAAGTTTTAAAAAGTACAGGTGCCTGGGCTTTGCCCTCAAAAATTTAATTTGAATTGGTCTGGGGTGGGGTCCAGGGCCTCAGTCTTTTAAAAATTCCCCAGGTAATTCAAGTGAGTAGATGAAGAATCACTGATTTAGCCTAAGTCAGTGTATTAAGCCCTCCTGAGTGCCAGGTGTAGGTGCTATAATATTGAATGGGATATGGAGTTCACCCTTCATTCACAGGCCAGGAAAGAAGACCAACATGTAAACAATGTCAACACTGTGGCAGATGCTCTAGTAGAGTCATGTATAAGCACGTATAAGAAGCACAGAAAAGGAAACACCTAGCTCAGCTTGATAAAGCCAGAAAAGGCTTGACAGAGAAAAAGCTAGTTAGCAAGAAAGTGGGGAGAGGAACATTACAGGCAAAAGAAAAACAAGAGTAAAGTCACAGAGTTGTTAGAGAATAAGCAGGGAGTTGGTATGTTCACATTTGAGTAATATGAGCTCCAGAAAAAACTCCAGAATTGTAAGGGGAGTGTTGGCAGAACACAAAATTGGGGTACAGAGACCAGTGAGGATGAGGACGACATGTGGTAGCGGTGTAAGGGATGGAGAGGAGGATTAATTTGCTTTTACAGGATACATAATGAATAGGACTTGGAGGTAGGCACTGAAATGCAAAGGGAGGAACCCCTGATGACTCCCAGGTTCTGGCTTGGCCATTGTGTGGGTGGTAGACTGTAACTTTGGCAGCAAACATGGGGGAAGCAAAAGCAGAAGATGGGGAAATGAACAGTTTGGTTTCAGACCTAAGTTTAAAGACTCAGAAGAAACAACTGGTTGCAGCTGGCACTAGAAATGAACACCAAATGCCAAGTCACTTACCAAAAGAGCACATATTTGTGGATTATTTTGTGTATTTGGAAATAATTGAGAACATAGCCTCTGTTTTTCTCTGTGTGTTTTGGTGATTTGCAGTCAGCTTTCACTAAGACCAGGAAGATCTTGAGAATTAGTTATATTGGCTTTTAGAAAGCATTCTATTTCACTAAACCAAAGAAACCTTTAAAATTGACCCATATAGGCCGTATTTTACCATTGATTTTTGTCCACTGGTTACAGTTCACTCACCACATGCTTCTTCTTGGGCGCCTTTGCCCCACTTCCTACTTAACGTGAGTAATGACTTGGTTTGCCCAACTATTAGTAGAATTTTAAACTGACATCAGATTACATTGTGTCACGAAGTGGAAAAGCTCATATGGTGACATCTGCATACCCTCATTATGATCTGGTCATTGTTTTAATTTCAAAGGAGTGATACATTCAGCTCAGTGCTTCAATCTATTTAAAGCATGTTAACCCCATGTATCAGAGTGAAGTTATATGTTCTTATTAAGAATCTCTGACACTGTAACATGCTTTCCAATTTCAATCTACTCACCTGTTGTGGGTGCCTTTTTTTTTTTTTAAGGAGGAAGGGTATCTACTGTCCCCATTATTCACTGTTAATAAACTTTTTAACTTTCAAAACTACTTTCTTTCCTTGCTAGTCTGGATAGTTCATATGCCCCCACAGGAAGCAGAGAAGCCACAGGGAAATACAACTGGATCTTACTGTGAAAGGCAGAATGGCACGCTGGTTGTCAAGCCTGCCTTGAGGCTGGTGTGAAAAAAAAAAAATGCTGATGTCTGCATAGCATGTATCTCCTAAGTAAATCAAACCTGTAATTCAACTTGGCTGCCTCTAAGTCATTTTGATTCCTGCAAACAAGAACATTAATGAACTTAGTATCTCTACAGGTTTATTCATGTGTAAGACGCAATTCCTTATTCCTCGTTCCAGCAGCTGCTCCAGCTCCATCTGATAAAGTGGAAAGTTGGAACAGGTCACACAAATCCAGATCATTACTTTAACCCAGATTATTGTAGGCAGTGTTCTTTAAGTCTTCCATCTGGTTTTAGGATGGGAAACAAAGTTTCTAGGACTTGGATTTGGGGAAAAAAATTTATACACTAGTAATTCTGGTCATGAAATATTTTATGAACTATAGCTTATTCTTGCCTTTATTCTTCCCACTTTTTTCCTCCTTTTGGCAATGATAAATAATTGAATTACATTGTGTAGTACTTTTGCTTTTGGGTCTTAGTTTACCTCCATGGATTTACAATTGTGAGAATATTCCAGAACATGTAGTACTTCCATGGATTTCCCAGAATGGCATGAGACTGATACAGGAAGTATGAGAAAATGAATATGAATCTATTTTGTCAAAAAAATTTTAAGCTAAAAATATAAAAGAATATAGAACAGCTGTTCCCAAATTTGTCTACACATTAGAATCACCTGTACATCTCTTTTAACCTTCTAAAGCCCAGGCCAGACCCCAGACAATTAAATCAAACTTTCTGGCGGTGGGACATGAGTATCAGGAGTGTTTTTATCTCCCCAGGTGATTGCAGTGTGCAGACAAGCTTCAGAACCACTGATCTCGACAACTCTGTTACTTCGTGATTTCAAGAAAACCCAGTTGCAGCTTCTCCTGGGCTACCCGCCCTGCTGCTTCATCAGCTGAGTCAACTTTGAGCCTAAGCAAGGCCACTGCATGAGAGGTACTTGAGTCACCGAAAGGCGACAATTAACAATTAATCAAAGACCACGGATGGATATAAAATGGTTGCCTGCAAATTTTTCTAAAGTGATTGTTAACTTGTTGAAATTTTTCCTGATAGCCAAAGTTTTGTGTTTCAGACTTTTCTATTCCATTTTCATACACTGATAGCTTCTTAAACAGTTAATTTCATGAAACTCTTATCCACCAGGGTGACATGTTTTTTCATGCTTTTAGCAGTTGTTTTAGAATTCCTTCTTTGACTTGGTTATCTTTAAAATATCTAACTCGAGAGGGTTTTTACATTGAGTGAGAACTGTTCATTTGCCTTGTTTAACACAGTTTGATACAAAGATAAGTATTTAAAATTTTATTTTCTATGTCCGCACAGCACGTTATTTATTTAAGCAATCACTGGCTGTCCAAAACCTGAGGGAAGCTTGATTTTAAACATGACAGCAACTGTTTACTCATAGATGGTGAACTTAATGGTTGACACCCTTTACTAGAACTCCAGCATTTGTACAAATAACTACCATACTGGCCTATAAAATTTTAAAGCTAATAGTGTAACCTGATAAAAAATAATGATTTTGCTATATGCTTGTATGTATCTTAAGAGAAATTAATTAAAGGAAATAAAATCACAATTGAAGTTGCTGGGTGGCTGAAATTATATGAATAAGTGTGATCTTGACTTTAATGAATTAACAATTAAGCTTCTTGATATAAGTATTTAATTAATTTTAACCACATTTATTTAGAAACCATTTACACTTAATTTCTGATCCAGTGTTCAATTAAAATCATCTATACGATTTTAGGCTCTAGATCCTATTCTTGCTTTGGTTATGTCACTCTGGTCACTGACTACCACAGAGGAGTAGAAAAGGCAGACATATGGCTGTGACCTTCTAATTTCTCATAATATTTTTCAGGTCAACCTTTAGGGAAACAGTTTGCTTAGAAAATGCATGTTTTTTAACTCAAATTTTATTCTATAAGTAATTGGGAGGGGGTGGTAGAAACAAATAAGAATGCATGGTTGTATAATTAAAAACAAAAGACTGAAATGTTGTAGTTACTTACTAAAATCACTTTTTTCACATGAGGATTTTGGGTAAGTCATTACCAGGGAAACTAAGGACAGCTGTGGTGTGCTGAAATCACACCAGCCATAGACTCAGAAGGCCTGAGTTTGAATTCCAGTTGCTCACAAATGTAAGGCGGATTATTTTTATCTCTCCTCTGTTCAAATTTTTTTAATATATGAAGTTTACATTTGGCCTCAGAACACATTTGTTTCTGCTCCATAAAAAAAGTTGTGTACTGTATGTCAGTTTTTTATTTCATTATTAGTGAGGGCAACCATGGTATATATAAGCCAAATGGTCACTAATTTCAACATAATGAGATTTGATTTTGAAATGTCTTAGAATTTGTATTTGAATGTGAGTGATATTTTGGGAAACTAATTCAGTGTCACCACATTTTTAGCAGTGATTTTAGGGAACAGGGTTACCAGTTATGGTCTATCACTCTTTTAAGTCGTGTTCTCATTGTATATCATTCTCTTTGGGGAAATATTCTTTGACCTATAGTATTTTTGAGTCAAGGAGTGAGCTATAATGTAGACAAAACTTAGGTAGGATAATTCAACTCCATTATAAGCTTGCTCTATGTCTGTCTTTTTTGTTTCCTCCTTGCAGAATTCATTCCAAGTCTCCTTATTTAAAAAACAACAATAAGAGGATTTAATAACTCAGGATGAAATAAAGCACCAGCCCAAAAAGAGATGCCTATTTATATTCAGTGTTTACCTTTGCTAGGCTGAAGAGAGGCAAATAAGTATTTTGCCCTTAAGGCCTTAATTCTAGATGTTAGATTAAATAGAGTGTTGATCATATGTGACTTGAGCAGAATTGTTGGATCAAACTTTGGATCAAGGTTTGCTTGAAGTAAGCTATGCTGTGGATAAACCTTTGGAAGATCAAGAGTGAAGTGTATTGCCCTCTCCATTGTTTCTACCAAAATATTATGTGGTGGTACTGATTTTGAAAAGTGAAATTTAACTTCCAAGAACATGGGTCAGATTCAAGTTTTCTTAAATGTGAAATTGGTTTTGATCTACCCAGAAGGTATGCAATAATAATGATCCCAGAGAGGAGAACGAAGTTGCTGTACAGATTTTTCTGTGCTCCTTTTAGAAAATGTATTCTGGAGCAGAGGGGTGGGCAGTTGGTCAACCCAGTTTCTATCTTGGGTAATATGTCAGAGTTCGATCTTGTCAGCCTGTTAACCAAGATTTGTATCAGGATTATTGCTGAGAGAGGTTTTGAGGATATTGTATCACCAGTATTTAGATGATGTTGTAGATTTCATCCAGGGCAGATGAAAGGGTAAGACAGTAATTTAGTACCCAGCTAATTCAGGAGAAAAATAGGTTGATTAAGGCTTAACTCAAGTCAGATAACTTATAGGTGGATACAGCTGGGTTAGCTCAGGGTTTTGTTGGGTTGTTTTTTGTTTTTGTTTTTGTTTTCCCTTCTCTTCAAAGAAGCAGACTTGTGCTAAGATTAGAATCAACAATGCTGTTAGAAGGAAACTTAGGGGCAAGCCAGTAGGTGTAAGATCAAAGTACAGCTTCTTCTGTGTCACAGCTGTAAGGACAGGAAGATGCCCATTTTCCTCAAGTATTGCTTCTGCTTAGTTATATGTGTAAGTTGTATCAGTAGACAAAGGAGAGACTGGAAATATATACATACAATTCCACCATCAGCCAAAAAGCCACATAAGTCTTTCAAACTCTCAAATAACATTCATGACAAGGAATAGTACATTTTGGTGTACTTTTAAAAACCCTTATCTCTTTCATTTAAGTGTGTTTCTGGTTTTATATGCTCAGCAGAAGCGATTAGGGAGGGGAGTAACAAGAGAAGTCTAATACAGAATCACCCTGTTGTTTTCCTTGAACCTTAAAGAGCTTAGTCTATGTATTATATACACACATGTATGCATGTATGTGTTTAATACTTAGCATAGTAACCTGTGGGTTTTTTAGGTGTGCTTTACTGTGAAGGGTAATATACTCATAAAAAAGTGATAATGTGACATGTACAGTTTACGAATGGTTCTAAGAGTAAACACCCCTTGTAACTGCCACCGATGGTGAAAAAGGAGGAGAAAGAGGAGGGGAGGGGAGGAGGTGAATAATTAGTAGAATTAGAAAAATTTGACTGGCATACAGAAGCCTTGTGAATTTCTTCCCAATCACAGCCCTCTCCTCAGACTCTTCCCTGAATAAACTCTAGCCTCACTTTGTATACAATCATTTCCTTGCTTTCTTTATGGTCTTACCACTTGAATGTGCACCTATATGCACCAGATACATCCATATAGTTTACTGCCATGTGTTTGGGAACTTCTATGTAAATGTAATCATACTTGATGTATTCTTTAATCTTGCTTTTTCCATTTGTTATCCACGTTGTTGAATGTAGCTGCAGTCTGTGGTTTTTAACTGTTTTGTAGTATTCTGTGGTAAAAGTGCACCATAGTTCATTTATCCATTCTGCTGTGTTAGACATTCGGTTGATTACAGTTTGCCCCTACTTCAGATGACCTTACCGTGACTATTCTTATGCTATCTCTTGGTCCACAGGGCATACATTTCTATTGGGCATAGTCCTAGTCAATACAAACTAAAAATGTGACAGTGGGCAATGAAACTATCTTTTTCTAAACAAAAATGTAGTGAGTGAACCAGTAATCTAATGAAAGAAAACAACCATTATTTTGGTTATTCTATAGTGGTAGGTGCATCTGGACACAGAGATGGCCATTTCCATCCAGCTGAATAAAAAATATCCAGGATTGTACCTTTGCTTAAGTTTCATGTCTGCAAGCATGTGTCATCAAGGAAAAGATCATCAGTTTTAGTTTTTAAACTGTCTCTGGTATTATTTCTAGAATTCTAAAATTAACAGGATGAAATGTCCTTAGAGGGCAGAGAATGTATCTCACATTTCTTTTACATTCTTCACTGAGACCACGGCAATGCTAGAAGGATGTAAAGTCCCCACTAATTATGCATTGCCTCAATAAATACATTGTGGAGTAAAATTATTTGTACAAATGGTTTTAATTTCCAAGCGGCAGGCCCATAAAAAGGAATAATGATGGATCAGTTTAACTTAAAACTTTTTCTGTTTTGAAAGCCTCTTTCCTGAAAAATGAAGAATAATAGTTTGAATGAGTCAGTCTTTTTTCCCCATAATTCTTTTTACCAAATCTGTACATGTCCTAGGTGCAGTTAATGTTAAGAGTATTTCTGAGACCTTTTAAAATTATAATTTGGGCCTTTTGTTTGGCTTTTGAAATGGAAGACAAAATGGACAATACACTAAGACAGAATTGTATCACTTCCGTCAGACCTGTGCTTCAAAGCATATGTATTTTAGGGCTTAGCTAATTTTGCCAGCTAAGACTAGATTACAGTAAATTGATTTCAGTATCTTTCTGTTTTTTATGGGCTTTGTTCAAAAGCTTCAGCTTCAGCAGAAGAATCAAAATAGTGTTTGTCAAACTATTCTGGATTATTAAGTCTTGTTCCTATTTACACAAAATGACCATTGGTCTAATGTAGTCAGCATGACTTTACAGCTCATCCAAGAACTATTTCAAGTATTGAGGAAAAGGCACTTTAAATGAAAAATTACTTATCTATTATCAGACTGGTAGAGAACCCTGCTTCTCGTGAATTCAGCATGCTGCCCACACCATGATTCATTTTGCTCCTTTGTTATAATGAAAGGTTTGAATTCCTTTTTTGCAGTGAAAAGATTCTTACAATGTGTCTACCTTTGGGATTGTAACTTTCAAAAGGTGCTCTTAAATATATTACTAATTTATTTAAATCATTTGCTTCCAAGACGTGCAGTACTTGGTGCAAAGAATAAGTTACTAATCCCCTGAATGTATGAAAGGAAAATGCTCAGCTGGATTTCCCTTTTTATTTTGTTTTTCTGTGGTGGGTTTATGACTTGGTGCCCAGCTTCTTTATAGAGTGACCTCTCACAAAACAGAATTCCCTTTAATGTGTTTTCCATGCTTATAGGAAGAAACACTGTGTAGTATCTTGATCTGTTCGTGCTACTATAACAAAATACCATAAACTGTGTGGCTTATAAACAACAGAAATTTGTTTCTTACAGTTCTGCAGGCTGGGAAGTCCAAGATCAAGGCACCAGCAGATCTGATGTCAGGTGAGAGCCCACTTCCTTGTTCATAGCTTTCTTTTTGCTAAAACTTCACATGGAAAGGTGGGTCTCTTTTATAAGGGGACTAATTCCATTCATGAGGCTCCACCCTTATGACATAATCACACAAACATTCAGACCATGGCAGTTAGCAAACACCAGTAAAGTTTCATTTCTACTCCATGGCTTTCTCTTGGTATATGGAGAGAAGCCTTTTTAAAGTGTTTCTGCTGGTCAACTGAAAGTATCTTTTTGACTGATGTCTTCTGTGGTTTTTAAATATTTTTTGACAACTTTTTCCTTTTATTAATCTGGGATAAACATTTTAGATTCTTTTATGAACTTAAAAGATATTAAGAGCAAAGAATTGGAAAA